GTCCAGGAACGAGGAGAAGTGAGGGGACGACAGGAGCATACGGGCGAGGTCGGTGAGACGGGCGTTCTCCTCAAAGAGGGAACGGTTCTGCAGACGCAGTTCGTGGGCTTCATTGGTCTTGGCGGCAACCTCGCTTTCGAGCTGGCCAATGTACTCTAAACAACGAATTAGTCACTTCATGTTCAGGTCAATACACCAACAGGAGATTCCATACCCTTTCTGCGAGACCGGAAAGCACGAGCGGAAACCTTGTTCCGGAGCTGACGACGTTCCTTGCTGCTGAGTTTCTTTCCTTCTTCGCTGGCCAAGAGTCTCTCATCCTCATCCATATCCTGCTCCTCCTTCTTGGCCTTGGCCATCTGAGGCAGGAGGGAAGGAGGAGAAGGGGAGTCGTCAGGCGAGTTCAAGGCAGACTGGCGCATCTGTTGCAAGAGGCGGGAGATGCGTTCCTCAACAGCCGGGTTGGATGGGCGAGGGGTCTGGCTGTGGGGGGCTGCATTGTGGTGCATGTGCTCGTCCATGCGGCGCTGTTGCTGGAGGTGTTGCTGGCGAAGGTACTCATTGTGCTTCTGTTGCTGAGCGGCCTTGGCCATGGCAGCCTGCTGCTGGTGCATACCCGGATACATGCGTCCAACCTGAGTGGAGGGACCCATGGAGGCCATCTCATGGCCGCCCAAAGCGTTGGGGTCGACGAACTGGCTTTTGTTGCTCGGGTTCGGGGAGATGAAGTAGCCAGGAACCGATCCCATGTTGTCGGACTCCAGGTCCATATCCGAGGTGTTGCGAGTCGGGGGGCTGTTGAAATCCATGGAAGGCTCCTCGCGCTTCAGTTGGCTGCTAGGGTAGAGGTCTCCGCCCATGGGGAAACCGGGACTCGGGGCACCGTATCCCATGCCGTTCATGTGGTTGTTGAAAGTCATGGCATGAGCCAGGGCGCCTGGAGGCAGGCCGGTCTGCTGCTTGTGTTCATCATACTGGTGACTGGGACCCTGGAAAGCAATCGGGGCTTGTTGACTTGTTGTCGAGGCAAAACCAGCACTTCGTACATCGCCAGCGTTGAACTCGGTGCTTGGTAGGGTGGGTTGAGCAGCCAGGGCGGTCTTTGCGCGGGCGGGCTCTGCGGAGGTGTATGCTAGTTGATCAAGATCGAGGAAAGACTCGATGTCCTGGTCGAATGTTGACGGCGCGACCGCCGGATGTTCTGCCAATGTAGCCATGGTGATGAGGATGTGTAGATGAAAAGCTGTTCGAGTAGCGCGACCTGATAAACGAGAGCGAAGACCAGCGCGATTTGGTCAAGTGCACGGTCGGAGCAGAGAAAGGGGTGGGTTGGATTTGATAACGAGAGACGATGGGGGTTGATGTGATCCGAGGTAGAAAGGGGTGAGAGGGTTACTAAGAAGCAATGAAAGCGAGTAGTCTATGAGGGATATCGAAAAAGACAATACACGTAACGATAGCGTTGGAGAGGGTAAAATGGAAAACAGGAAGGAGGAGTTAGATGGGTGAAGATGGATGATAGTGATAGTAGTAGTAGTGATTGATGGAGAGAGTAAGGGAAGAGATGATGGGTAAAATGGGAAGGGAGGGATCGACCAAGGTTGGCGGACGGGAGTTAATGAGGGAGGGATAACGTTACAAGACCGAGTGGGCAGAGCAGCAGCAACAGCAGCAACACAGCAGAGCGAAGAGACCAGATGGGCAACTCTTTTCTCCACGCCAGGAATAGAAATCCACCCAGAATTTCAGGTAACTAAAAAGGCTTGCGCGTCCTTTGGCTGACTCAGCGGCTACTGGGACCCGCCCCACCCATTTTCAGTCTGGGATTGGCTGGCCCCTTGGACACTAAGGCGAGTTCAGTGGGTTAGGGCTTCCGGGGAGCAGCACCCTACTCCACTGCTGGTTAGGGAGGGAATCCACTCTCTCCCTCCCCTCCCTGACTTAGTTACTTGGGTAGTTCGGTCTTAGTCGCACCGGTTTTCGCCCGTCTCCTCTTCCATGTACTGTGAACCAGGAACGCTACCAAACAGAAATTCTACAGTTGGTGCAATCAGGAGATCGTCGATAAGATCTCCCGGCCTTGTTTACTTTTATTGTGTACTCCCCTTGACAGGTGTTGGGTTGACCGTAATCGCCAACTCTCACTACCCAGCATACACTGTACAGTAGTACACATCCCTTGTGCAGACAAGAAGCATGTAGGCCAACCTAATGGAGCCCTTCCTTCCGGACAACTCTCTGTCGGGTGACTTTGGACGAGAATGGGAGGTGTGAAGGCCGGCATGCGAGATTTTCTTCGCGAGCCGCCCCCTAGATGGTTGCCCCGAAGTCTCTTTTCTCACCCCCATTGTGAATGGACCGTCCATGAATTATTGTGTCTTCCCGTCCCTCTTGCCTCCCTTTCTGACACCTTGCCGTTTCAAGTCTGTTTCTCCGAGGCAATGAAACGGCGGCACAGGTGAGCACAATCTCAATTCCTGACAATGTGCTTGCACCAATCACAGTAGTCTCCTGCAAGATTGTTCACCTGGAGTGGCCGATGTATCACCACTTCATGACGTTAGTGGCTCAGCCACAGCCAATGACCGCCATGATTCAGCCGACGGCTGCGATCTGTTCACAGCAATTGTGATCACAGTTTCCGCGAGTCCACCAATCCACATCGGCATTATGATTGATTGGAAAATAAAAAGGGGGTGCATAATGTAGTTGAGACTGCATGAGTCTGGAATGCCATTCAGTCTTCACCAATGTGATTGATGAATCGATCTATTGGACAGATGGGGTGGCCTCTGGAGGGGACAATGGGGAACAACGAACAAAAACCAAAGTATCAACACAATTGTTGTGTGGTCGAGGGGAGCGAGTCCACTTCAAGAGCACTCTGGCTGATGCATCCAGATGTTCTAGAATGGCCAATAGTGCTGACCACTTCGATCTCGACTCTTCAACTGCTGGTCCCCTGGTGTGGATGCGCCGGTGTGGAATTCTGGTGGGTAAGAAACCTGGTTCCTGGCCGACAAAAAGTTAGCTCCGGAAGCAAAGCTTGGCGCCGGGCTGCCATGGAAGAAAAAAGCAGAAAACACAGTGATTTGACTGTGAACTGATGGCCCTGGAGAGGGAGCCCACGACGAGCCACTCTCAACTCTTTGCTTTTCTCGCTTCGCACCCAGTGGTTCGGTCTTGAAAATTTTGGGTGATTCATCCCAGCGCTATCCATGGAGTAGATAGTCTGTGTATCTATCTCTTCTATCGGCTCTAGACTCCTACTAGGTGGGCTACTATCTAACCGTTTAGATACTAAGCGCTGAGAAAAGACCCAGTCCACTTCTCCTCTGGAAGACCAAAGGATTCTTCCCCGGCTTAAGGCTTATTAGGGCCGTTTCACGCCTCAACGACAGTTGTGCAAAAGGTACTTTCTCATACAGTGGGCGTATCGCCCATGTCCGAGCAGCGCCAGTGGCATCTTATCATCCCGGCGCACATACTCAAAAGGAACATCGCGGGACGGGTGATCATTAGATAACTAAAATTTGATGGAGATGGTTATGGCCTGATAGAGGTGGCCACGACTCGCTGATCCGGCCGAAACTTAACCCGCTAGAGTTCAATTCTAGGCCTTGACAAAGTCGCAACTTCTGCTTCAGATCCGAATCAGTGGAAGAAGAATGGATGAAACTCGTCCGAACGGAGAACCACCGATCACTGACCGTTCCACCAGTCCCAGATGGGAGACTGCACAGTTTTCGTCCAGCACCAAAACGGTTTTATTGAGTTGAATTGTGTTCTGCTCTTCTCTAGGCTCGGTAGTGCGGCACTCGAGGCTTGAGTTGGGCCTTAGGTTCTACTAGTTCGAGCAAATCTTTTCCTAGTTTCCAGAAACCCCTGATGGGCGCAGCCGGTGCCGCAGCATCACGATAACCTTAATAGGAAACCGAGACGATAAACTATACGGTTGCCATTGCCTAGCGCGCTTTCGATGGCAGATCCCTGTGAATACCCTCGTGCGAAAATTTTGCCTCATGCTACGGATAAAAGTATTCTATATCTATTTGCAGATCTGTGGCTGAGACTGCACACGACTGAGTTGAAGAAAAAAAAAAATAGAACGCTTTTTTCTTGGCCCGGAGTCTTGTCTTGTCTTTGGGTCTCCTGAATCTTTGCGCTGGATGCTTGTTTCAGTTGCCGAGCCTTATAAGGCTTTCTTCGAGGCTGCCTTGGTTGATGCAGACGCAAATCGGCAGCGACCATAAGGCTAGACTTGAAGACTGCACTCGTAGTCTACTTCATTCGCTGAACCAGTTTTTTGAAGATACTCGTCCGAGCGCATAGAACCAATCTAACCTTTGGTAGATCAACTCTGTACCATGTTCAGTGAGCTGAGTGTGCCGCTTAAGTAATGCACCCAATTTTCCACTACAACACCGTCTAGACTTCAGGCAGAAGTCATCGTTCGCAGCTCTACTATTTTCAGCAACATCAACGCTGCCGTTTACTGTAGCACATGAACCCATTGCAACTCTACAAATCGCCACCACATGCCAATTATCTCGGCATCAATGAGAGATATACAACATCATAACATTCAAGGGGCGATGTTATGACCTCACATGATGCGTCGAGTTGAACCGACCGGAAACGGCAGTATTGTGATGTCACCCCACAAACCCAGTCCATATCGATACTATTTATCCTCCCCAATTCAAGATCATCGAATTGAATATTGAACAGTATTTCTTGTGTGCACACATTTCAGATTCGCCTTATGTATACTGGCGCTAGTACATACATCTTCTCATAAGATAATTACGAAACAGGGCCCTTATTCCTTTCATATCATAACGATCGTCAAACAAACGTATACCTCCACTCCACTAAGGAGTCAAATCATCACACTTTAGTAGTAAAAAGAGATGATTTACTCCTCAGGCTCATCATCCTCATCATATTGATCGTACTGGGTTCTCGATCCGCCCTTCTGGCCAGCAGCACGAGCTCTAGGGTCTCCGGGTTGGAAGCTACCGCTGGAGGCCTGGCCACCTTGGGATGCGATGTTGCGCTAAAAGCCAGCCAAGTTAGTATCTTCACTCAACATTGACTAACTCAAAATGTCTTGCAGCATGAGGAAGGAATATATAATATACCTGCTTATCAGCATCCATACTGGCAAACCCGCCCGAGTGACTCGACTGGCCACCCTTCTTGGCGATATTCGACACTTCGTCGTGGGACCGGTTGGCGAAGTTTCCGGGGTTGGAGTTGGATGCCATTTTGTCCGTTTGTTTAATCAAGTGGTTTATCGTCTATTAGATTAGGTAGTTGTAGATAGTCGGCTTCTGATTCTGGTTCTGAGATCAATCCCATCTCAACCCCCAAAACCAACAAGATATATATACCCAAATCCCAACCACCCCATGAAGTCATAATGTCACCCATTTGACATCAACAACAACAAACTCCAACCTCCCAAGTGAAGTGAAGTGAAGTAAAGTACGTAACCTGATGTAATTTGCAATTAACTTTCCACAACCCTCCCCAACCCATCATCATCAATAGTCAATTCAAGTTCTCCATGCTCATCATGCTCCATCCAATCCCTGATATTGGCTCGCCACGCGGGTTGAACTCTGGTTTCCGTGGAACAACAACCTCGTGTTAATGGTTATCGCCCTGTTTGGATAGGGGAGCTGGTGGTGTCATGTCATGGTCACGTACTACGTTTATTTTTGGAGATTGGATGGGTTGAGTCTAGATTGCGATTGCGCAATTGTCGAGGTGGGATTGGTTTTACTTGTATGTTTAGGTGCGGGTTTTAGATGCGCTGCTGCTGTGCTGTGCTGGGTTGGATTGGATTGTTGGGGTAGGGGAGCTACTACGTAGATGGGGTGTCATTGTTTATGGGGTATGAGGTGGGTGGCGATTGGAGGGTTGATGTAAGTTTGATATTTTTGATTTGGGAGGGACAGGGTTGAGGGGTGGTCTAGATTGTGTCTAGGTATGAATTGGATTAGGTGTATCGATGATGATGTTTTGTGGGCAGTTAGCTAAGTACTTCGTTGTGCTGGGGTTTATTGCTGTGGCTTATGTGGTACAATGGGGTTGGATGGGAATGATGTGTTGGAAAGATACGAAGCTGTATATTCTCATTGACCCGAAATAACAAATATGTACTAAGAGTATATATGGCTGGCGCTAGTATGTACCTTTGTGTCTTGCTGTACCACCTGCCATTAGTATTGTTCATCATTGTCGTGACCTTGTCATATAATATCTAAACCATCCATCTTCGTAATATCTCGACAGCAACTGAGGTATGTTTGAATTCAACTGAAATCCCCGGTTATGGGCAAGTTGAGAGCTGAGATAAAAGGTTCTGGTTGCAGCAGTCTAGAACAAAGGCATATAGACAGACTTCGTATAGTCAACGTTGTCCTCAGCAGACTCGATACGCTCATGGCACGTGCCAAAGATCTGGTCCCACAGGCGAGTCTGCTTGCCATAGTTATGACTCTTCCTCCATCCTTTGCGGTGGTGAAGGTCATGATCCTCAATGACAATCTCGGCATTCATCCACTGCAGCAACCAGCTCAGTGTTGATGGCACTGTCATGTGGACACGAAGACCGCTGTGTCCAAAGACCTCCGCGAACGCGACGTATTGATGGCAGATCCACCACTCATAAAAGCCCATAGGAAGACCCATGAACTTAAGGCTCATGTAGGTCATGAACGGCACACCGACCATGTCGAAGAATTCTTGCTCGTGGTCTGCATAAGCGGCGAGGAGGGGGTTGGGGTGTTTCGTGAGATGGTGAGTGCGATGGTACTTCCAGAGGAAGCTAACGTCGTGCATAATGCGGTGATACCAGTAGAACCAGAAGTCAAGCACAATGCCATAGAGGCCGATCATTAGTGGGAGCCATGTCCAGTCCATGGCCATGGGTGCTTGGTCGTAGTAGGATAGATAGATCGCCATAACCAAGCGTGAGCCGGTCGTCTTGTAGAGCGAGGCGGTAACTTTCCGCACCCCAACATCGGGAATACCGTCGCGTTCGTGCTGGTCACCGTCAAGGAAGCCATAGGTATGTCCGAGGCGACGAAGCATTTTAACTTGGTGAATGACTGTCGCGTTGAACGAGAAGAAGTACAGATTGAACAAGGCAAATGGGCCGAGGTTGTGGCCCATATATGCGATGTAGGCCTGGTTGATGGCGAGCGGAACAGCCGCATAAACGAGAACCCAGAGGTTAAGAGACCACTGGGGCATATAAGGTAGCTTCTCCTGCTTGGAATGGACCGGCACTTCTTGATCAAGTGCAACGGGATGAGCATTGAGCAGCTCCAGCAGCCAGTGGCTGAGGCCCCATTCGTCCCGGTTGCCGGTACGCCATGTGGATTTCATAGAATCTTTTGGGTTGCCCGCAGAAGTCATGATGGCGGTATGATATTTTTGATACCATGGGATGCCTTCCCCCAGGAATTGAGGCCATGATGTTTTATACTATGTCTTCGGATTTCGGACGCTCGGGCGAAGGACCTACCTTCATGTGAAGGATTCCTTCCTCTGATAATTCCAAGCATCATAAAGCGGATCACTTTTCCCAACAAAATATCAGATGGACATAAAGGGTACCCTGACATCGATCATGGTGGGAGCCTCTTTCACCTAAAGGAGCAAAAGATAAACCTGGAGGGAAACTAAGTATTCGGCACATGAAGCCCGGCAGTGCATGTTGAACGCATGGAACGTGTAGACCCCGCATTACTGTGCCTCGGAGAGATGGAAAGCACCGAGGATCACCCGCAGATCGCATCTTCGCGTACCTGTCGCTTAGCAGTCGCCAATCAATGATGGAGGGGATATTGGAGGGGGAGATATGATTGACTGTTTGGGTCTGGGGATCTACAGGATACCTGAAGAAATGGTTGCGGCTTACCGCTTTCCAACCCAACAAGCTCGCATCAGTTGCCTTTCCAGGTCTAGGCTGGCACTCTTTTGAGTTTCCAGTTCAATCTACAGCATGTGATTGTCCGAGCTGTAAAACAATATGAAGAGATATAATTTCATAATAGTATTGTTAGACGTGGAGGAAACTGCCCTCCGAGTCAAGGCAACAAGAATGGTTGGGTTGAGGTTACACTGGGCCTGAGAAGATGAATCAGTATGACTGACTGCACTAGTAGTCATAGGGTGAACACCAAACTGCCTGAATTATACATTACCTGAACTGACTCTCACTTACAACAGCACTCTTTCACTCTTAAGGAATTGTAGACTCGTGGATGCTTTAGTCTCTTGCAGTAGAAAATTGATCCTTTGGTAAGTCCTCCAAGGCCAATGATGATTTTCCTTGGCCTGATCAAGTTGCAGTCTGCTCTGCTCAGGAATGAATCCAGTGAGTTATAGTCAGTTTATAGTCAAGTTATAATATTTATAATATCTCGTGATGTTACAGTAACAGGCTGACTATTCCTGTTTGGGACAGACTCTCGACTGTAGTCACCCGTCACTTCCAACAATCACTCGCGTGCGGATTTGTCTTTCTCAATGATGTTATTCCAGAGCTATGACTATGTCGAGTCTGGTATATACACAGCTACATCTATTGCGTGTAGATGAGGCTGCACTTGGTCTCGTTACTAAGTATACACTGGAGCTCTGTTCAAGTTTTCTGCAAAATGCCTTTAGTTATAAGTGACCAGTCCACAATGATCCCTGTCAACAAGCCGGGTTATAACCATCTTCAGGCATCAGAAGTGGTATGGATCTCGTTAGTATATCGATCATATAGGACTAGAACTGACATGAGAAGTGCACTGCCTTAGGTTTGAATATGTAGTGGGATCGACTGTCACGAAATCCCCAGCCTTGTAAAGCATTACACCATCTCCTGGGTGCGAAGGAGCATGGAATGTTCATAATATGACTAGGAGCCTACGACTAATGTATGTTTTGAACATAGGCGTTTTATACACTTTGAAAAGACGAAAGAAGCCGGAAGATCGAGTGCGTGGCACCCCTGGCAAGGACAATAGAAGAGGAGGCGTGGCAAAAGCTGCATTAATACTGATGTGGGATATCGATTAGTTTGTCGGCCACGACTGATATCTTGAGCTTGTGATGCGTATGTCACAAACTACCCAGGCCACTGTTGGCAACAGTCCTATTATCCAGGCCTTTGAAAGGGTAACATGGCACCCGTGGCAATCAAGCAACAAGAACAGACTCAGAGAAGAGCGGTGAACAATTGTGCTGGAGAATATCATGAGCAGTCACCATTCAAATACGTATGTATTCATACGGCAATAAGGCTGTTAATTCTTCTCCTTGTATGGCAGCTCTCCATGAAGATAGCAGGAGGAAGAAGAGCCCTACAGGGAGATGGGAAATGAAGCCGAAACCAGCGGGAGGCGAAGATCCAATCTCGGCCCGCAGTGCTTAAATCACGTTGCCGTCCCACGGAGCCGCCAGCCGTTTTTTCTTTGCCGCAGGCTTTTTCGCTCTTTCCTTCCTACAAACACAACAACTTTTGAACAACCTGAGTCTTATTGTCGAAATGTTCGCTGCAATGGAATAACATACGCCTTTTCGCCGATTTTATCTTTCCAAGTTTGACTATTTGATCAAAAACTAGGAAATCCCCGAACTTTGTTTTGCCTTACCCAAGCTACTACTATCGCGACCCTTGCCGAAGATAAACCCTGCGTCTACTATTTACTGCTATCTATTGTAGCACTGCGTCGACACCAAAGCTTTCTACCCACTCATATTGTTTACCATTCAGGTCATCTTACCATCAGTGACCTTGACTGGACTGCTTATGCTACGACTGATCAGAAATCGAAACATGAATTATCGTACACGTCTAAGAACCCTTCAGAAATTTTTGCAAAACCCTTGTGGCTAGCGGTGTGCGCCCCCACAGCCGCCTGATCTTCTTGACAAATATTGCGCGCGTCGCAGCTTGCCAGCATGACTTGTAAGTCCGTCTTTGCTTGAATGCCTTCTAGGTGCCTTTTCTTCCCCGCTGTAATCCTCTAAATTGGCCTGGATCTTTGCCCCTTGCATATCATCATGGCTACGAAAGCAGCCAGAAGCATGTAAGAAAGGAGAGGCACTACTATATCCTCCATCTTAGATCCCGCAAACTAGTTGTCCTCAGTTACTGACGATCCTTAGCTCGAGGCTGGCGGCAGCTTCTGAGTCGAAGCATAATTGCCATGCTTCCGCCATTCAATTTTCTCACACTTCATTATGTGTACTTTATTGCGACGTCCTTGATATGCAGCGTCATATTCTGGGGTTCCTCGACCCCGCGGCGCAGTGTTTCATACACAGACTCTTTATTTCTGTGTATCAGTGCTATGACGGGTGCTGGATTGAATACCGTATGTTGCTTCGGCTTGCTTCCCCCGCCAGAGCTTGTAAAGTAACCCGTAACAGGTCGACCTTTCTTCCCTGAATTCGTTCCAACAGTCTATTCTCTTCGCACTCTTACTGTTGGGCCATGCTATTCTCATCTCGATTACGGTGCTTTTCGTCAGGATGGGCGCGTTTCAAGCCAAATTCAAGGGCATCTCACTTGAACGTGCGCGTAAAGCATTCGAGCAACAAGGTATCCTACCTGGACGTGCCCATAAAGCGGAGCATCAAGACATTCCACTTGAATGTGCCCGTGAAGCATTAGGGCAACAACTAGTAGGAGACGACACGAAGGCCTACGATCATCAGCCTCAATCGACCTCACTTGAACCAATTTTGGAACACTATCAGCTGGCCAAAATTGACGGTGCTACTGTTGACGTCAAGCACGCGGTGACAGCCGGAGCTGCACCTGCGGAAAACTGCGACAGCGTACGAATTGACGACCAGATACAATGGGTCGACGATGATCAAGTCACCCTCAGCCATATGAGGGCACGTCAGAAGCACCATCACCACCGCGTTTTCCCCATGGTAGGCGTTGGGGCCCGTCTTGACTTGAATAACCATCCCCGAGATGCTGCACCAATAATGACTCAGAATGATGAAGAAGCAGAGCTACCTGCGCTCAAAGGCCTTATCAAGGGCACACAGAAGTATTTCAGATCGAAAGGATCTATCGCACGAAACTCCCAGTTTCATGGGCTTACCCCTGAAGAGCGAGAGAGACTGGGAGGTGTCGAGTATAAGGCTGTTTCCTTACTGCTGGTCATTGTTGCCCTCTACTGGGTCCTGTTCCTCCTTTGTGGTATCATTGGGATGGGTACCTGGATTGCAGTGAATCATCCAGATATACCTCGAGCAAACGGCCTATCGCCTTTCTGGACAGGCGCATTCTTTGCCGCGTCCGCATTTGTGAACAGCGGTATGTCGCTCTTGGATGCGAATATGACTGCATTCCAGACAAAGTATGATCTCCCATGTGTGTGTTACGATTGAAAGTATGCTGATCGTTATATAGTGCGTACCCTTTGCTTACCATGGCATTCTTGATTCTATCTGGCAACACGCTCTACCCATGCTTTTTGCGGTTTATTATCTGGGCAATGAGATGCGTGATCCCGGATAAGCCGTCATGGGCGACCTGGAAGGTTACCCTAGACTTCATCCTTGACCATCCCAGAAGAGTATGCCACCGACCATCAAAGTTAATGCACCGTTTCACGCGCTAATCCAAGCGTAGGTTTATACAAATCTCTTCCCAAGGAGACATACGTGGTACTTGCTCGGTACCATTGTCATTCTAAATGCGATTGATTGGGCTGGCTTTGAAGTCCTCTCAATCGGGAACAAGGAGATCGAAAGCTTGCCGACGGGCTATCGGGTCCTAGACGGACTGTTCCAGGCTTGTGGTTCGTACTAAATTCAACTTCGTTATGAGTGCACGTTTTATCTGATACATTTTGTTGTCTAGCTGTACGAGCGGGAGGCTTCTACGTCGTCACGATTGCGAATCTCCGCCAAGGACTACTTGTTCTATATGGTAAGCATTTTACTCCCCCCAGACTTTGACCAGAACTATACTAACGTCCCACAGTTCTCATGATGGTCAGTTTATCAGTACCCCGTAGCCAAAAGGAAATCACCAGACTAACCCCATATATAGTATGTTTCGGCATACCCAGTGCTAGTCACCATGAGGTCAGTAACAACTGCCCCTCTCCTTCCCAAACCCACACTAACAACCACAGAAACACAAACGTATACGAAGAGCGCTCCCTCGGAATCTACGCCCACGACAACACAGACGACGAGACCGAAGAAAAAGCCTCCCCGAACATGTTCATCCAACTGGTTCGACACCACCTTCTCGGGCGCCAAGATGCATCCACCCCCGAAGCATCCCGCAGTTACTTCGTCCACCAGCAACTGCGCTCCCAATTGAGCCATGACCTTTGGTGGATCGCCCTCGCGGTCTTCCTCATTGCCATCGCAGAATCAGGCAATTACAGCCGCATGCCCGTGGCATACTCGACCCTGAACATCATTTTCGAGGTCGTCTCCGCCTACGGTTGCGTCGGCATCAGTGTGGGCTTTCCGAGCTCGAATGCCTCGTTCTGTTTCTCGTGGCATACCATTAGCAAGCTTATCTTAGCGGCTGTTATGCTGCGCGGTCGCCATAGGGGTCTCCCGGTCGCTATTGATCGCGCTGTTATGCTGCCGAACCAGTCCCTTGAGTGGGCCGAGGAGGAAGATGCTGCTATGAGACGTGAGCAGTCTCGTGCTTGGGGGAGTGATAAGATGCCTATAGGTTCGGTTTAAGTGCTCGCTCACTTTGGAGGGTTTGGTTCATGAATATTTGTGTGGGGTTGTATGTTGAAGGTGATGTTACAAAAGAGGTGTAGTAAGATGTGGTGTGGTTGGTGCAGTGATTCTTTTTTGTTTCTTCCGATCTGTTATTGTTCTTGTGATTATCCTGTTTGTGATTTTGTTTGTGATTTTTTGTGATTTCAGTCTAGTTCTAAATTATACATTATGCGTTCAATCAAGTTATTGCACATAGAAATGTTCCGGCACTTGCAGCCCACTTGGTAGTTTTTGGATAGTGGTATACAGTATGGCGCAATATACGAACAAAACAGCTTTGACCACACACGTATTCTAACTTTTATATTGACACCAGCAAACCAGACAAGATATATCCCATAAAGCTACGACTGATATATAACAAGACAGTGTAAAAAGAAAAGAAAAAAAAAGGGTACAAAAGGAGCCTGATTAAACAGCTTAATCCTCCTCTTCTTCGAACTCGACCTCTTCCTCATCTTCATCCTCCTCCTCTTCTTCCTCTTCCTCCTCATCCTCACTACCGTCATCACCTGAACCAGCCTCGCTCTCATCCTCCACCTCGTCCTCATCGTCCTCATCACTGTCATCATTCTCACTGATCACATCATCCATAATGACATCCTTCCCAGCTTCCTCCTTCTCCTGGGCCCTCCGCTTGTCGTCCTCGCGTCTACCTTGCTCAAGAATCTTAGCCTTCTCCTCCCTCAACTTCCGCTGAGACTTTACGAAAGCTCCCAGCGGCGTAGCCTCCCAGTCCAGATCCTTCAAGAACGTCTCCACCTCAGCACGGTTTCTAGGCGTGTAAGAGACGCTCAATCTGCGTTCCTCGATGAAGCGTGCATTGGCCTCCACCTTCTGCACGAGCAGCAGGATCATCTGATTGACCTTGGCGTTCTTGTTACCTCCCGACCGAGAGCTAGCCTGCTTCAGCCAGCGCTTCAGCGAGACGACGATGGGGACAGAAAGTTCCGGGAAGGCGATGTGTTTTGTCCAGAGGACGAAGAATTCGGACAGAAGTTCGGCGATTTGCTCGCCCACGCCATCTTGGTAGACGCGTGTGCGGAGGTAGGATTTCGGTGCCCGGATGGCTGTGTTGAAGTCGAGTTGCCTCAGAGTGCTGGATTTCGGGGGCTTGCGCATCTCAGACAGGTTGAGGACTTCGAGGAGACTGGAGGCGAGGGGGATGTAGGTGCCCGTGCTGCGGGAGAGGCGGAGGAGGGAGCGGGTGAGTTGGAAGCGGAGAGGGAAGTACTGCGCTGTGGGGATTAGGCGCATAGCACCGATGGTGATTTGCACGACGGGGTAGATGAGGGGGCGCATGGCGGATTGTTTGCCTGCCTTGGCTTCGGCGAGGCCGTCGCAGTGTTGGGAAAGGACGCGGGACCAGAAGTCCAGACTGTGTACGTATTGCCAGTTGTAGACGGTCTTGTATGATTCCTTGGACGTGTTGGTGATGCTGCTGCGAAGGTGCATGGCGAGTTGACGAATGAAGTTGAAGCCTGTTGTGTAGGAGACGTTCTGGTCGACGCCCCAGAGCTCTGCAGCGGAGTTCTTCATGAGGTTCACGCCAGAGAGGGTGTGCACGGTTGTGTTGCGGCTACCCTTGACGACACCTTCGTAGGAAGCCTTGAGGACGGTTTCCTTGATACCGGCATCGCCGATAATCATGAGACGGCGGAGGATAAGGAAGGCCGTGATGCGCGTGGCCTCGGAAGTAGCAACGTCCGCCCAGATGCCGACAATGGTCTTGATAAGGACCTTGAGTAGCTTTCTGAACTGGAGGAGGTAGGGAAGCATAGGCTCGATGGAGGAGAGGGTGAGCTTCAGAGTCTGTTCATCGGACAGGTTGGTGAGCAGCTCGTGGACCGACGATGTGTGCGACTTGATAAGCGGCGTGAGAGTCTTGAACTTCTTCGAATCCAGAGACACCTTGATCTTGCCAGAGGCGGTCTCCTTGACAGGAAGGTGGTGAGCGAGAACACGGGGAATGGTGCTGAGGGCTGTCACCAGGACCTGGTGATACACGTCGGGGTCGGAGATCGAGTACTTCTGCTCTTGGGCGTCGTCGTTGATATGAGCGGCGGCGCGGAAAGCAAGAACGGCCTGTCTCATCGCGCGGACCGAGTGCTGCTCCTCCATCAACTTCTGCCACTTCTTGACCATCGCAATAGTGAGGGTATTGTCAATGGTCTCCTCTTCCTCCTTGGCTGCCTTTTTCTTCTTCTTGGCCGGTCCTTCTTCCTCTCCTTCGCTCAGCTCGTCCACTTCCGCAAGGTCGCCGAAATCGAGCAGCTCGGCATCGTTTTCCTTCAGGTACTTGTAGAATTCAGGGTCCTTCTCCTTCAGCGCCTCAAGTTGGTCCTTGTGTGCTTCGAAGTCATCGGCGTCGCTGGACTGAGAGCCGGCGTCCTCGTCTTCGTCGCTAGCGCCTTCCTCCTCCGCGCTGGAAGCAGCAGAAACCTCCTCCTCCTCCTTCTGCTCATCGGAGCGCTTGCGCTTGCCAATCTTTGGTGTTACATCCTTCTTCCGGGATTTCTTCAACTCCGCGGCAGAATCAGCAATATCGAATCCGCCCGCGAAAAAGTCGTCGACGTTCATATCGGCGAAAGCATTTTGCTTCTGAACTTGCTCGGGGCTCTCCTCGGTAGCCTCCTCTCGATTGGCGCGGTCTTTGGCATTATCGGCCTTACGCTTGTCCTTGAGGTGGTTGCGCTGCTTGATCTTCGCATTGGCCTTCCGGCGTTCGAGAACGTCCTTCAGGTGCTTCTTTTCGAATTTCTTGGTGGATTTCTTCTGAGATCCGGCCATTGTGCCCGAGGTCCTTGCCTACCCGACCGAATGGATAGGATAAAATATGTGGGAAAAGTAGAATAAAGGACCACGACGGCAGTCGAGATACTTCGAGCACGCGGAAATTCCGCCCAAGAAAAATCTGGAGACGAAAAAAACATCCTGCGGCAGAATGGGGCGGTGAGTGGGTCCCCGTCATGGTGACCGCCTTCCCTTCCCCTCGCGATGATGCCAATCATCTCTTCCCCTCATCGCACCATCATGTATACCCAGCGACCGTTGGCGTACGCCCCTACGCCGTATAGCTATACGCCAAGCCCGGCGTTGGCGGCATCTATCAACCTTGATGAAGTGAGTCGCCTGGAGGATGAAGAGGGTTGCTAGATCACCGACTAACTGTTGCGGTAGGAAGTAAAATTAGCTTCCAGCGCGGCGGAGCGGGATCTCTACGAGTCGTTGGCTGAGATCTACGGTATTATCGTGACTTTGGATGGCCTGGAGAAGGCTTATATCAAAGATGTGGTTACGGAAGCGGAGTACACGGAGACATGTACCCGGCTCTTGAAACAGTACAAGTCCACTTTGGGTGATGAGACTGTTGCGAACGAGTTTGTCGATCTAGAGACCTTCAAACGTACCTGGGAGGTGAGTACCAACATCGTGAACTCATTGTACGATGGAGTCTGACCATTCGGTTTGATCCTGTGTAGCTGGAATGCCCTCGCGCCACTGAACGTCTCCGCATCGGCCTCCCCGCGACAGTCGAACAAGCCTCCCACAGCACACCCGCCGCGAACATGGCTCCAGCAGCAGCAGGACCTGCAGGAGCATCTGGTAGCTTGATCTTGACGGCTACTGAGAATTTCATCACCTTTTTGGATGCATTGAAGCTGAACATGGTGTCCAAGGACGCACTGCACCCGCTTCTGTCGGAAGTGATCCAGTCCGTCAATAAAGTCACCGATGTCGACTTCGAGAACCGGGGCAAGATTATCCAGTGGCTGATCACATTGAATCAGATGCGTGCAACTGAGGAACTCGGTGAAGACCAGGCCCGGGAGTTGGCATTTGACATTGAGCAAGCATACCTGGGATTCAAGGCCACTTTGGGTTGAACTTGCCTTGTAGGAGTTATTCATTGGTATTAGTGGAGAATGGTGCCTGGCGTCTGGCGTGCGATACCAAAGTCGAGATTAGTTCTATTGCTTTAGAAAGTTGCTTGTTCTTATTTGCCATTGATTCATGCTCTTATCTCGATCTCGGCCCATCTTTGGGGCGGCGACTCCGATCCGCGGAACAGTCCCCGCCGGCCTTACCTCTTTGGGAAATCACGACTTTTTTTTTTTGCTGCCCTGCATCCAGAACCGCCCAATCTTATTTTGCCACAGGCACACCGATATAAGACTGGAGCCTCGATTCCTCGTTCTCCGCATAGACTTACCACCATCCGTAGTCGGACTAATCAGCCCTCAGAACTTCTGCACCATGATAAGCGCCGATCCCGACGAGCCTCTCCACGGTACGTCTTCTCTCTCGGAACTTCCCCCTAACATCTCGGGGCGATAATGTACTGATAAGCCTGCTTCAGTGTTCGATCTTCCCCAGATCCATACTAAACCGTCCGGCACTGAGCTCATCCAAGCCCTCGACCTGCTAACGGTCAAACCGCGGAGTTTCGGGCCCGTAGCCCATGAAGCGACAAAGAGCCGGACTGTGCAGCCAGCCGGAGTGACCCGCTATCTGACATCTATCATTGCCAGCCCGCTGGCATGGCTCGACACTGACGAGCTCCGGGAGGCCGTCTGGGACGCCGCTGCAGCCCGACTCAGCGAGCGCTCCGGTCGAACCGGTACGCAGAACTGATATTATTTTTGTAGTACTTATTGCGCCATTGTCTTGCCGCATCTAACATGATGTCTTGCTCTTCGAGCGAATAGCCATGCCCGCCATGTCCCGAGTCTTCAGCATCCCTAGTACCACATCCGATGGACTCGAAGGCGAAGAATTCACACTGACCCTCCACGAACCCTCCTTAACAGCCGACAACCTGGGCATGAAAACCTGGGTCTCCTCATACCTCCTCTCTCGCCGCCTCCACAATCTTCTCGACTCAACTCCCAACCTCGTCCCTACCACGTCCACCACCCCGCAACCCCGCCCAGACAACAACAAGACCCTCCGCGCCCTCGAACTCGGCGCCGGAACAGGACTCGTGGGCCTCTCTTTCGCCGCCCTGCGCGGCTCATCAGCCTCCATCCATCTCACAGATCTCCCGGACATTGTGCCCAACCTAGCCCACAACGCAGCTCTCAACGTTGAATTGCTCAATCGGACAGGCGGCGTCGTCACAACGGGTGTTCTTGATTGGACTGACACCCCGGACCCGCTGCCCACTGCACAGGAGCAGTACGATCTCATCCTTGCTGCGGATCCGTTGTATTCGCCTAGTCACCCGAAGTTGCTGGTCGACACGATCACGCATTGGCTGAGTAGGGGGCTGGATGCCCGTGTTGTGCTGGAAATGCCACTCCGGGATGCATATCTACCTCAGGTGCAGGAGCTGCGGGACCGAATGGGACAGTTGGGGCTGGCGATGGTGGACGAGGGCGAGGAGATTGGCTATGACGATTGGGAGTCGGCGGATGGGGGAGCTTTGGAGGTGAAGTGTTGGTGGTCGGTATGGGGATGGAGCGAGAAGCTCTAGGGAGGTCAGAAGAGGGCGGGGGAAGATATTATCCACGACGTCACGATGAAAAACGAGACACGATGATAGAGTCTAGACGTAGACTGATTGATTTCTTAGAACTATAGTTTAGATGCTAGAATAGAGTCACGGATCCGTTACACATGGAACACTGTTCGATTCGAAATGCTTGCGAGGTAATAATATAGAGAAGATAGTAGATCCTTGGACTGGTCAAAACGGGGCTGCCACCTTCATGCCACTGTTGTAATTGCTGTGCCACCGGCATTTTCAGCTCTCCAGAACAAAATTGAGTATTATAACCAAAGTAGTCGCCTTGATTTGATCTAGCCAAGCTCCAGCCAAATATAAGCATCCCCATTGTTTTGTCACGGCTAGAGAAAAGCGGTCTCGTTGTCTGATACAGGGGACTCTGGAATACATGGTTCAACTGTCGCTTTTCTCGCATTCCTTCCGTTCTGACTAGACTACAAATAAAACCCAATAAGTATCAAGCTAGAGAATCTCAATGCTAGGCGGACATACCTTCATACTATTACGAGTGACGAGCCGAGCAGGTGCTTCTATATCGGTCTGAGAACCCCTCGACACACTAGGTCTGATGTCTCGAAGGGCCTCGGCGAAATGCTGGGCTTTAAGATGAACTTTGGTCGGGGATCTGATTTCGCTACCCGGTGACTGCGAGGATGTATCATCCATAGTAGAGTGCAACGCAGCTTGCCCGCAGAGTGACCGCAATTCTGAGCCAGATAGGCTGGCTGATTGATGTGCGAGGGTCTTTAGGCTGACTTGAGGGTCGATTTCTGATTCCTTGAGGAATGTTTGCAATATCTTGAGTCTTTCTTCCTCTCCTGGAGGCTTTATCATAACCTTGTTGGGGAATCGCTGAAGGAAAGCTTCGTCTAGATCTGAGGGCCGGCTTGTCGCGCAGAGGACGAAGGGTGTGTCTTCACCCCGGGATAGCGCATCCATTTCTTGGAGGAACTGGGCCAGGGCCCTCCGTCGCCAGGAGTGATCGTCAGCGGAGCGACGGTAAAACAGGGCATCGACTTCGTCGAGGAACAGAACACAAGGTGATAGCGTCTTGGCTAGTGTGAATGCGGCATGGATTGTTTTCTCTGCATCCCCCTCAACATCACTGACGATGTCTGCTGGTTTGATTCGGAGCATGGTCGCTCTGGACTCGTTGGCGATTGCATGAGCTAGATGGGTCTTCCCAGTGCCAGGAGCTCCATGAATTAAGACTCCTGTGGGCCTAGGTTGTTCCGGGGATGTCTTTGAAGGATCCTCAATTTGAGTTTTCGACAAGTGCACCAATTGTCTTATGTGGTCCTTCACATTTTGCTCCAGAAAAATATCGTTGTAGGTGTGTTTCTGAGTTTCTGCTACCCGGTTATCCTGGGGTCAGAATCTGGCTATAGACGCCCTTACCTGGGTCGATGCTGCATTCTGAGAGCCCTAGCTCGAACTTGTTGCAACTCTTCCTGATTGTATCCACCTTCTCGGAGAAGCCGGGCTCCTCAACTTCCAGAGGCTCAGTTCTTGAGGGTTCTGGCGGCTGCGGTTGCTCGCAACTTTTACGCTGCAAGACTTCGAGTATGTCACTCAGATCCAGTACCCCTTTGACGCAGACCCGCCCCAAGACTTGACAAGCAATCAGCGTGTAGTCCATATCATCATTTAAATCGGTTAACAAAGTATCCGGTATATCCAAGTGTACGGCGTCGGATAGCAACTCGGAAGCGAAGCCTATGGGCAGCCTTTCTCGTATAGACCCTTTCAGTTTTCTAGCTCTTCTCGCAGCATCGAGCTGTTTCTTCTCTGTTTCTGATGCAATCCTGTGTTTTAATGACTTTGGGTCATCGAACCAAACAATAAAAGAAGGTGTGATATTAAGTTCTCGTCGAGAGTCATGGTTCATATCGCTGATGATAAGCAATACAAGCTCATTATTCTTCCAACGTTCCATGATGGCATTTCTGAAGCTTTGAATGATACCGTAGGATACACAATCAATCTCGTAAGAGTTGCGAAGGTGGAGTATAAGTCGATCGCTTTGTCTTGAGGCCGTGCTCCGGGGTTCAGATGGCGAAGGCTTCTGTTCAATCTTCGCCAAATGAGCATTCAAGATAGACTCTATTGAGCACTGACTCCGTAGGCTCTTTCCGTCTCCGAAATAATAATTGATCATCTGATCTCTATCTTCAACTATAGCGTAATCAGTGTCGCTATGGTCTTCATTGAAACAGATAGCTGAGTCTGTACCCTCTACCGTCTCTTTAAAGAATATTGATGGCTTATTTTCACTTTGACACACAGAATCTGCACAAAAAGAGCGGTCTTCGTGTTGCTGAGCCGATTCGTCTTGTTGATGAAATTCACGAGCAAGCTTATATAGATCCTCAGGCCCAGCCGAAATGCAGGATGCACCCATATCTCCTGCTAGGTGTTCTAGGATGGCTGTAGCGCAGACAGAACTTTCAACTTCCACTGCCATGCAAGGCCATATGCCACCTCGCTTCACTTTTGGAAACGAAGTCTTGCTGAGTAGAGCAGCAGCAGCAAGGTCATAGAGTTCTGCGTATCGCTTCTTTTCAATGACATATTCATCAGCGGCTTCAGTTCGGTCCTCGTCAATCCCATTCTTGCTTCTACCGTCTCCATTAGTATCTGTACAGGGACCCACTTCCTTATCTCTTTGGAAGTTAAGGTTACTACTTTGACGTAGACGGATTGGTGTCCGATGCTCTGACTTGGTTCTGACATTCTCAGCTACAAACCAGGAGGGAAGAGCATACGGATGCTGACGGTGCAGAGCTTGGTAGAGTTAATCGTTGCGGACCTCAAGTCGCCAACAGAGACGAGTAAACAAGGATCATACGGAAGGAGTACAGTCTTTAAGCTTACCTCTACCTTCATCGACCATTGTGGATGGCATCACAATCAGGTCCTCATTTGAGCCGCAGACGAATGCGAAGAGTTGCACATGGTGGTCTTCATTCCAAGGATATTGATGGCTTATCTAGACTTATATGAGAAAATGGCAGGGCTGTCACTGTGAGAGGCGATTAATTCCTGTTTTAGACAGTTTTGGAACTGCTGCCCCTTGCTGCTGCACCACACTCGTATGAATCATGCGACGGTATCAGCGACAGCTGGTACCTGAAGCAATTCGAGTCAGCTTGTTACAATATGCATAGCTTCGATTCCATGCATGTAATCGAGCTGAATTGGCTCAAACTATAATGTTAATTAGTTGTATCTCACGAAGTCTCGCCCAACAACGACCGACTCGCCAGAGCTCCAGGTAATGACATTGCTAGATTTCTGCAGCATTCCCGACCCTGAATGCCACATACCTATGGTAAGTAGCACGACCAGTTTCAACGGTTGAGTCCACAAACTAAATGAGAGCTTACACTAATTCACAATGGCAGTCGAATCATAACATTGTAATATAGTATCTGGATGATTACGTCGGTCTTGAGATGGAAGGGATTCCATAACAATACCTTCAAAGATTCCACTTCGTATATCAAATACTTAGTAATCTCAAATAGCACGTCTGTTCAGCCGCATAACCCTTGCGACATGGTATGGACTGCTTCATAGCCAATAACAACGCGGGCTCAGTACGTCCCACGAGTCAGCGTCCATATGTGGGAGGCCACTAAAAATGCCTAAGAATGATTGGCTACCAAGGCATTGGATAGAGCGCATGCCGTACTTATAATACCCTCCTGGGATGCTCCAGAGAAAAGGAGTCATGATCTTTCCGTGTTGACTCGCGAAGGGAAGCGCATAGGATGTAGATGGATAGATCGGAGGGTGGAGACAACAAAGCGTAGTTGCTGGAGCCTTGGACGAACCAGGCATCAATCAGGCAGCGAACCCGGTCAGCCACCGATGACATATGACGACGCTCGGCACCGCCACCAGCGATAAGTGATATTGGATTCTACGCCTGTACTTAATACAAACAAATATGAAGCTCTGTGCTTAGCTCTCCCAAAATACCGCTTCTCTATTAGTAAAATTGCCTACCTTCAATTTTCAATCAACAAACGCAAAGTATCAGGCTATCAACATGGTTATCGGTCTCCTAGCAATTACCGCCATCCCCACCGTCACCGGCGTGGCCATGGGGGTGAGTGAACAGCGCAAAGCAAATGAGAGGAAGAATGATGAGCGACGCATGGCAAAGTTTAATATTGATGTCGCACCACCACCAAATGAGGAACCTGACGATGAGGTTCAAGGGTTACGGGTGGTGCTGAGGGACTGCAAGGTGCGATCAAGTGTTTCCGCTGCGTTGTTGTTTTGTATGTCAAGTGAGTCTGACTAGCTGACTGATTTATGTTAATCTAATAGGTTTATCTCGATGATCCTGTGCCCTCGAAGCGAAAAGTCCCCGCACACACCGCGGCAGCGTTTTATATTGAGTACCCAGAGCCAGACCATATGAAACACCTCAAGCGGGGTTTTGGATTAGCGACCACCATCTCAGATAACCCGCCGATGTTGGGTTGGCTATACGCCGATACTAACACACATGAAATGAAGTATGGAAACCGGTCATCGAGTTGCGATCATGTTGTTGGGCCGTGGGATTGGGAGGATGAGGAGACCACGGTGACACTGGAGGAGAACAGGCAGTTTGTGGCAGTGCAAGAAGACGATGGCTGTTGGGCGCTATACTACGATCGCGATGGCGATGATTTAGAGCGTGTATTGGAGGAACAGGGCAAATTGGACAATGACTTCCAACCCTTGAGATTGAAGCGGAACCTGATTGAACAGCCTGTACAAAAAACAAAAAATGATAATTCGTGATCTATATTGAAGTGCTGGTTTGGGGAATCGTGAGGTAGACTTTTCATATTTGTACAGAAACACCAACGGGTTAAGCACAACCCACATCCATAGGAGCCTAGTCCTCAAGTCCTTGCCAGCCCTGGTTGTCGTCGTCACTGCCAGAGTCTGCGCCTGACTGTGGTTGAGATTTCCTGTTGCGGCTGGCTGAGATGAGAGCCTTCTTCTTGTTCTCCTGGCGTCGCTCATAACCACTCTTGGTACTAATTCTCATCTTCTTGTCGTCCTTCGTGCCTTGGGTCTGCCTGGCCTTGACGCCGTGCTTCTTGAGCTCCTCCTTCTTCTTCTTGCTGAGGTCCGGAAGAGCGTCCAGCAGCCACTTCTGTACCGACTTCTCTTCATTTGTGCCCCGTAGCTTCTCGCTGACGTCGATTACATTGGCGATGCTCTTGACATAAGGAATGTCCTCCTTGGTGTAGTATGTGACTGCAATACCACCTTCACGGCCAGCTCTGCCCGTCCGTCCAACACGGTGGACGTAGACGGCAGCGGAATTCGGGATATCGTAGTTGACAACCCCGTTGATACCTCTGAAGTCAACACCACGGGCCAAAAGATCTGTGGTGACGAGGATCCAGATTTCACCCTTTCGGAACTGCTTCATAATCTCGGAACGTTGGCCGTCTGATAGCTCAGAGTGGAGAACAGCTATACGTGACGAGCCACCCGCCTCGGGAGGAATATCGTAGCGCAATTCTGAGTGTAACGCAACTGCTCTGGGAATTGTCTGAGTAAAGATCAAGAAAGGTGGGCGTAAACGGATGTCCGTAGATGATGCTGCGGCGGGGTGCAGGAGCTGACGAAGACCGAGCAGCTTTCCTTGCTCAGTGGCAGCATAAACCAGCTTGTGCTTGATGTTTGGAATGGCAGAGTCCTTGAGGCCAACCACCAGACGAAGCAGCGGATAAGACTTGGTCTCGCTGAGAGTATCCTTCCGCTCCTTGATCGTTGACTTAGCGAGGTCTTCGACATTGGACCCCATCGTCGCTGACCAGAGACTTGCTCGAAGCTCAGGATGCGTGCAGGAGCGCCAGATGTCAAGTGTTTGGTCGCGGAACAGAGGGTCCAGGAGAACATCAGCCTCATCCAGAACCACATTCCTCACCAGAGGGAGAGTCGCCAACGGCTTCGTCCGGTTTGCAGAGAGCGCGTTAACCAGAAGCAATGGTGTTGTTACGAGGATGTCGCTCTTGGTGACGGGCGCCTTCCCTTTGCTGTTCTTTGCTGTAGCCTTTTCATCATCTTCAGAGCCCGACGATTCCGAATCATCTTCATCCAGGACGTCTTTGCTATCGTCTTCGTCATCGCGCTCTACCACACGCATGCCCTTCTTCATCAGAGTGATCTTCACACCGGTTCCCAGAGCTAATTTTCGGCCTTCGTTGACGATTTGGCTAGCAAGCTCCTTTGTCGGGGCAATCACAACAGACAAGATACCCCGTTCCTCCGGATCTTCGTGATGGTGCCGGACAATCTTGTTGATCACCGGAATCATGAATGATAGCGTCTTGCCACTTCCTGTAGGCGCAACGACCAGAAGATCCGGTTCGACACTCTTTCCAGTGCTCGACTTCTGAGCCACCGATTGGTCACCGAGCAAAAGAGGAAGACTTCCTAGTTGAACTTCAGTAGGAACAGTAAAGCCTTGCTCAGCAATGTTTTCCGCGAGTCGTCGGGAAATGTTGTACTTGGTGCGCAGCTGTTTGAAGGAAACCAAGGGCTCCGGAAACAACCGCCGGGCTTTCTTCTGCTCTTTCTTAGTGAGCGTTTGAGCAGGCTCCTCTTCCTGCTGCTTTCTCTTCTTCTTTTTCTTCTTAGATTCCTCTTTCTGAGGCTGAGTGGGTTGAACTTCCTCGAAGTCACGCATATCAGTGACCTTGATCTTGTGAGAGTTCAAGATCGTCCGGCGCTCGACTTCACCCATCGAATCATCGCCTTCGGAATCAGATGCATCTTTCTGCTCAGACGGCCCATCTTCATCCTTTTTCGCCGATGCGCTGGCCGCAGACCGTTTACCTGAGCCGAAGAAATCTAGATCGCCAGCATTACCATCTTCTGCATCTGAATCACCCGCGGCTTGCGTACGCTTCCTCTTTTTTCCGGAAGCATTTGACTCCAGAAGCGTTTCGTCACGGAAAAGCTGGGGGTTCTCGGCCTTGCCTTTGGAAGGCAGGGTCGAAGACAGGGTATTACCAGCCTTGAACTTGGTTGACCTTGTCAATAACTTGAACGCATCCATATTTGAATATATATGAACTAACGGTCCATGCGACTAGGTATATTAGGTGGACACGAGCGTCCGAGTCCCAGCGATCGCGAGCTTGATATTGATGGTTGTCGAGTAGTCGGACTTAATGAGGGAAAAGTTTCGATGCTGAAATTCTTTACCGCACGGGCCAATCAGAGGCAAGCAACCCTCACCTCCATCAAACGGATAATTCTCGAAGCTCTCAATCATGTCCGAGATATTGAGTTGCCTGGTCTGACGCTTATGCGCTTTATGATTTGGTACTAGCTACGTATATCAATAATAGACTTTGAAGTCCTCGTGCTTACTTCAGATGTAACTGTTCATTGTGTCCTACTGACACCTGAGGCAGAAATTTAGGTTAAGTGCTGTGGCCACGACCGACCCTCAGCACAGACCGATTGAACTTTGTAATATGCTTATAGCCTTAAGATAGTCATAGCTTTGAAATACGATCATCAGTCACCTAAGGCAATGCCGCTTTGATAGCAGAATTCCTGCCATGGTCTACAACATCTCCCTTTAAGCAGCCAGAATTTCAACAGAACAGTCGTCCCCATGCATGAACCTAAATCTAAGACAACAACAAATGAGACGTGCCCAATTGCTCGTATCGCACAACCTCAGACAACAGTTTATTCCATCGTCTATCATACAATAGTACAGCACACAAAGGAAAACGGGAAAGGGAAGGAAGACAGGCTAAGTCACGAAAGCTTGGTATTTATCTAGTGGTGTCCGTGGTGCTCAGGCTGTCCCTTGTAGCCGACGATGTTCATCCGACCAATGATCTCGCCAACGGTGAAGAAACCAACGATCTCCGCAGCGGTGACACCAGCCAGAGCGATCTCCTTCTTGTTGGCGGTACGAACGCGGGAGATGATGTTCGAGGGAGCGAAGCTGGAGTTCTTGAAGGCGGCAGGGTTACGGAAGGCGTTGGTCAGAGGCTGGAAGTAAGCCTGGAAGGTGGCCATGTTGCTATAATCCGTATTAGTTGACAAGGGTCACGGTTCGTTCAGATTAGTTGTGGGCGCTTACGGAGGAGTCATGTTCTGGCCACGGAAGACCAGCTTAGCAAGCTCGATTCCGACCTTCGAGTAGTAGACGGTAGGGGGTATCATGGCTGCATTGACACGACAGATGATTAGCAATGCTCCGAAAGATATGGACAGAAATCCGGGGATGGCTCCACTCAAGGAGTGAATCACGACATGACGGCATCCGGCAATGCCACCGTCATAGTATCATCCCAATGGATATTCAAAGGGGTTATTTGTTGCTAATATCATGGAGAGTCCGCTTACAATCGACAAAAGCGATGACTTTTCCGGTCCTTCCACCGACCTTCCTGAGGGCGCTACCGAGACCCTGGGCGGCGTTCGAGATGGCGGGGCCAGCCGTCGAAGAGACGCGAGAAAGACCCTCAGACGCCTTCGAGGCAGCAGAGGAAGCAGTCTCACCAGCCTTGGAAGCGGCTTCGGAGGTCGAAGAAGCGTACCTGACCGCAGACCTGCGGGTCAGGAACTGCGATTGCCGAAGCACGGCACGGGACGCCGTGGCGGGCATCTTGAAGACCACTGGGGGAGATAAAACGCTAAAAGGAAAGAATGACTCTGAAAAGTCGCAGGTGGAGGACAGAAGAGTCCAATGGCGGTAGGGTCAAGAGCCGGTGACACTGGATCGTCGCGCAATTGCAGGACCAGAATTGAGATTTGAAGTTCGGGAAGTTCAGGGAAGAGCCTCCACTTCCGTGTCACGTGCGTTCGCGCTCATGCCTTGTTTATCAAACCATCACATCAATTTGATCTTTGCAAATCCAACACACTTTGCGATTTCGCTTCTTATAACTATCCATTCGGCTAATAACGCATTGATACTACATCTACACTAATAAGGTCAAACTTTGTGGTCCGGTGTATCTCTACAACATCCGAGGCTTCCGTTCTGCCGAATGGCCGTGCTAATTACCTCGCAATCGACATGTCAGTTTGAGCTGGCTAATCCAAAGATAGACATAATGTGCCCACCACATGTGGAAGCACTTCCATTCCAAATAGGAATCCTCAATGGGTGTCTGACTGGATAACAAGGAGTATCATGCTTTATGTCACGTCGCATCCATCTTAACCTATTCCCTAACACTATGCCTTGACAGCCACCGAGAGCCAGTCATATCACCTATATCCAGCTACCGGGCGCTATCATACAAATTAGAGAACATGGAGGAGTATATCGCGTGACCGGCTGTCTGGCATTCTATCGAGAGGACCATTTGGGGGTCTTCGTTTCAGACACCTGTCGCGGTAAGCGGACAGGCTATTGGATGTCAAACACTTCACATACCCCAGCATATATAATCACCTGAGATATCTTCACCTATGGGTACAGCACGACATCCAGATTTGCCAACGACATGAATTCTTGATGAGTATATGTATACACATATATTTTCGACGATGGACAAACTTCGGCAGCGATTATGCTAACATAGTCATTCTCGAACGGACATCGTTATCAAATCATTAATTCTCTTCGTACTGCACCTCGTGTTGACCTATCGGCCCAAAAATCGGCCGTTTGTAATCATGGCATCACTATTCTGAGATGAAAGCAGCCTTCTGTTCCGATAAAGCCTTGGCGATGCTAGACATCGTTGTTCGATTAGTTGCACGATAACTTTATATCTCTCAGAGGCCTTCTTTGTAGTCACTGA